AATTTGCTGTGAAAATCTGTTCTCATTCTCACACCATCTGTAAGATCTGGAGAGCAGAAATCTCAGGGGCATATTCTTCAAGAAAGAACATGGCGTGAAAGAAACCTTCGCTGCCAATGCAGAGTCAAACCACATCCAGTCAAAGGGTGCATGCGAGGCCCGGCACTATCTCGAAATGTAAGAAGCTTCCAAAGGACGGGCAACACAAGAATCTAGTCTACGTTTCTCTGAACAGGAGAAAAAATGAATAAATGATTGATTTTCCAAAAGTCCAGGCCATTTAATAGCTTCTCGGGCTACGATCCATAAGAAGCCAATTAATCGCAGCAGCAGAATCAATCTCACACGCATGCCGTTGCGCAAAAGTAACCAGACACAAAATGAGTCCGTACCACACGTTTCCACTTCTCTGCAAGTCAGCAAGGGGAAGGCGGGAACTTTCAGCAGCGACGGAAATGGTGGCTATCTTGGTTTGGGTAACGGTTATAAAGGTGCGTATGTATTTTTCACACCTCGAACTAAATACTTACGATCTTTGCATTTTAAATTGAGTTATAGTTTACATTCATTGAACAAAGAAAGTGTCCCTCAGCGAGTGCTCTGTGGCAGGCGGGAGTGGGAAAAATAACTATAAGCAGATCCCTTCACCGCGGGATTCCTCACAGCTTTCTGTATGTTGATGAGTTTTGTAGATCTCTAACGGGAGTCTACAGGATGCAGTGTTTTCTAGAATCCTTGGCTTGAGAAAAATTTTTCCTCCCATGTAGTAGCACCATAAGGCACTAATGTTTCAGAAACCAATAACTCTAGCCTGAAAAAAAAAAAAAATCCAAGCAAAGGCCATGAATACCACTGCAGCCATTTTAAAATAAAAAGTCAACATCTAATTTTAAGCAATCCTATTCTGGTGAGCCATCCAGAATAAACAAGTTACAGACTGTACCCCCCATAGAAGCTCCATTAATCACTGGAGCGATTCTGCCCAAAGTAGTACATTTTCTTTTGGAGTTGCAGACTTTAAATTCCTCTGGCAGCAGTAATTAGATAGTAAAACCAGTTGTCTGTTGAAGAACAAGTTTATGACAGGAAGCATTCATCAACAGAGACAACACCTATCTTTCTGTCCTCTGTAAAATATGCAACTCATCCAGAGGGGGCATGAGGGCATTAAAACGCAAATTAAAAAGCAGAGGTGTTAGGTTCGGTTCCCCAGGAAGCTGAGGCAGACAGACTCGAGTTTTGCAGATTTGCTGGCGCGAGCTCCAGGCCCACACCTGTAGGGGAGTCGGGGAAGCGAGACTAGGCAGAGGGAGTCTGCTACCTGTGATGCGGTGACCACAGAGGCTTCCGCCGTCCTGCGGGGAGTTCTGCGACCAGGTGGCCCTTCAGGACTGCCCAGCAGGCCAATCAGGCCAGCAGGCCAGACTCTTACACCCTCGCAACAGACCAATCATTGTGCGTGGGCGGTCCCCGGGTTTTCAGAGGGGGAATCTGCTGAGAGCCACCAGCCACTCATTTCAGCGGCAGGGGCGAGAGAGGCAGGGGGCGGAGCTGCACGAGGGCGGGGGCGGAGTTGCACGCGAGGGCCCACTCCTGTGGCCAATCCGAAACCCCTCTTCCTCCAAACCTGCAGGAAGCCCCTCCTACCAAGTCTAAAGCTCAAGCTACTCATAAGCAAGCCAGAAACCTAGAGTTTACCCACGTTGCTGTGTCCAGAACGAGTATTCCTAAAACTGCCCTAACAACTGCAAATACACACATGGGTATTAACAACGTTATTTCACAGCATAAACCCTATTACGGAGCGGCGCATCGACTCGCCAGGAGTAGAAACCTCACTGTTCTTCGCGAAGGCTGATGGCCTGCGTCCATCAGATCTCTCAAAGGAGAACAATAACACGGCAACCCGTAAAAGAACTTACCACCAAAAAGCTTCAGAGGCAGTTCCCAACCCTGGAATTTTTAAAATCACATGCCCCCTTGCTTATTGTAACACGATTAAATGAGTATTCCATTGGACAAAAGGAAAACGGGGTTCGCAATTTGAGATTTGTCACTGATTCTGCTTTTTAACGCCTGCTGACGATCGCTGCATTTATCCCTTGAAAACACGCCCCCTGAGGACTCCGTAGGCGATGCCATGCTTGGAGTCGAGGGCATCAAGGGGAACAAGAAGCGCACCGTCTAATCACAGTCTAATAAAGACAAGCAGGTGCACAGGTAATTATAAACCAGCCACGCATTCACTCAACCAACACGACAAGGCACCAACGACGTGCCAGCCACGAACACGATAGACACGGTTCCTGCCGTTCTGGGGCTCGCGTGCCGCGTGAGCGGTGCTCAGGTGGAGACAGCCGAGGATGCTGTAGGGTTTGCCCACCTGCAGAGGGAGAGCTACGAAAAGCTCAGGAACAATAAGCTGAATACCAATAATAATGGCAACTAATCTTTGGGGCCTTAAAATGTGCGGGGCACATATGTAAAATTACGTAACTCTCAAGTCAGTCCTGAGGCGGGTATTATTTCCTATTTTCCAATGAGACAATTAAAGCAGAAAGAGATTACGTAGCTTAATCAAGGTCACCAGGTGGTAAGTGGCAGCCATGGGATTCACGGGAGACATAACCGGACCTGAGTCTTGAAACGGCAGTAAAAGTCGGCCGGACAGGAAAGGAGTTGGGGGAAGGGGAGCGGAACGCATCGCAGACACAGGGGAATGTGAGTAGGGGTGCTTAAAAACCACCAGAAACCCGCAAGTTCACCTGCATGTCGCTTGTTTGCGGGACAAGAACAGGCGTGCAGGCCTGACATGTGGGCGCGGGGCGGGACGGGCAGAGGTGAGGCGCGAGCCCCACCAGGGAGAGACTGCGGGAATGCAGGCACGAGCTGATGGGCGTGGCATTTGTTGTCTAATGAGGATAAAAAAATGGCTAACGTGCCTTCAAAGCATTGCAGAAGCCAGCGATGGGCTAAACCTTTGCACACATGACCTTACCTGAGCCTCACTGCTGTCTTTAGAGGGAGGCACTATCGTGGTCTCCTTAGACCGGTCAGAATACCCGACCTTCAAGGAGGCAATCAGACAGTCCAGGGTCCCACTTGCTGGAGCGTTTACAGAGCTGGGATCCCACACCAAGCCTGTGCCCCCAGCCACCTTCCCCAAGAAGCGGGGACAGGGGGTAAGGGGCACACGCACGTTGCAGCCCAGGAGACACACCACGAAGCCTTTCACCAAAGGAGCGTGAGCCGTGGGCTGGAGAGGGGATCTGAGAAAGGAGCATCCAGAGGCGGCACTGCAGCCGAAGCTCCGGCACCAGCACCGAGGATGAAGGCGGAGACGTGGACAACAGCCCCCTGTCCGAAGAGATGGTGACCCAGGAGACACCCCCAGGGTGAGCAGAGGAACGGGCGAGAGACGGAAGGCGCTGACGGGCAGTGTCCCGTGTTATTGGCGGGAGGCCGCGGGGACAGCTGGATGTTTAGGTCTGGGGCTGAGGAAAACAATCTGCCAAGAAGGTACCGATTTGCCCCCCCAACAAGTTGAAATCATAAGAGTGCCTGACTTCGTCTGGGGAGAATGCAGAGCAAGAGAGAAGAGGGGGGTGGAGAGAAATCTAGAAAACCCCAACTTTTCAGAAAAAAAAATCCATTTTCTCATCTGCAAAAATAAGCAAGTGTGTGTTTGTGTGTGTGTGTGTGTGTGTGTGTACATCCCTGCGCACACACACCTGCCTTCTCTTAGAAACCTGGGCTAGGGCTTTCTTGCAAGAAAAGTGGGCTGCCTGGGTGTTATTTCTGAGCACACAAGTTATTCTCTTTCTAGTATGAGCTTCTGCTGAAGAAAGTAAGCTAGCTGAATGGTGTAGGTATTTAATAATAAATTAAAATAGTACGGACAGTTTCAGAGTTCTCAATCCAAAGCTGCCTGGCCACCGAGTGCTCAAGTCGCCAACGTGAGTAATTCCACTCTCAGGCTCGGGCGCTGCAGGCGTTTGGAGGAAGTGCCTGGCTGGCAGGGACCCCCTTCCCCAGGAGAAGCCCTGCTCTTCTAGCCTTGTTTGGAGTTCTCTCTTCACCCTGCACACCAATCCGTATCCCGGTGCCGCTCACCTACCTTAGCAACCGGTAGAAAAGGCGATTTCTCCAGTTTCTCTCCTTTGAAAACAAAGGAAAACTTCCCAGCGTTAACATGTGAAAAGAGGAAAAAAAAAAAAAAGCGCCTGTGCGGTCCGCCCTCCTGGCTGTCGCTACCTTGCAGTTTATGACACAGTCAGAGGGAGGTCTGACGCCGCGGACGAGACAGCCTGAGCGAGAGCCGGCTGGTCCATCCCCGTGGAAACCACGCGTGCCTGGGAGCCGGCAGCCCTTCCACTCGGCTGTGCGGTTTCCTTTGTGGCTCTGAGAGCCGCTTCTGAATGAATGATGCGTCAACGCGTGCCTCCCTGAGCCCAGGCACCGGGGAGGGGTAACCCTGCGGAGCACGCAGGGCGGCGCGGGGGCGGGGGAGGGCAGAGGAAGCCGGTGGGGACCTGGGGACCTCGCAGTGCTGCAACTGGCTCGACCCTTGCATGCAGTTTTTGAAATCGGCAAAACAGAAATCAAATTGCTATCGCATTATGCGGGTGGAGGCTCGAGGAGAAGGGACCGTATTGCCACCAGCTTAACTGTCAGGCGAGATGGGGCAACTCACAGAGCGGCGGCGGGTGTCGGAGGTGCGGAGCCTGAACACGAACGTAAGTTCCCGGAGTCTCACGCTCTGTTTTACTGCTGTGTAATTTTCTTGCTGGCTTGAAATCATGCTGGGCTGAAATGTAATCATTTCACAAGGAGAATTTCTAGTGTGGAAAGTTGTTAATCTATGCTTAAGACTTTTTTTTTTTTTTTTTTTTTTGCCTTTCATTAACTAAGCAACATAATACGAGCTGAAATTCCTGACAGCAGCTGCGGCGATTTAGCCTCAGACAGAACTATAACCCAAAGTACATTCAATTACTATGGGATTAACGCTGGATGTATTTTTAATTGACTTTCTTAATGTAGAAGGCATGCTGCCCCGCTGGTTTGGATTGCATGCTATTTTAATCCTGCTGTGGCTAACCTAGTGGGAGCCGCGTAACCAACAGAATGACATAGAGATGAAGGAGATTCCTGGTAGTTACAAACTTTTCTTTTTTGGCCAGGAACACATTTTTCTCCCCCAAACGCTCAAAACTCGGCAACCTCTATGCTAAAAGTTCATTCTGCTTTTTTTTTTTTTTGACCTTGTTTTGGAGAAAGCAATGAAACGAAACAGAGGACTCTACTGAAATTGTGAAGGAAGGACACACAATTTGTCACTGCGGTCCTTTAACTCTATGGCAACCATGGGAGGAAAAGAGCCAGCCCACGGAGCCCCGCAGGCCCCCCGGCCTCAGGGTGCCCGAGCGTGGGGACGTGGAAATGGATGGTGAGCCTCTCCCTCCTTAGTTTCTCTGCACTTCGCCTGCCGAGAGTTCCAGCCTAGCCATGGATTTCCTTTGTGAAGAAAATACTTCTCTGAGCTCAAGTACGAACTCCTTCATGCAACCGAAGGACGGCACGGGGCTCCACCGTGACAGCTGTCACTCCGGGGACGCGAACGCCTCGGATGCCTTCAACTGGACGGTGGACTCGGGAAACCGCACCAACCTCTCCTGCGAGGGCTGCCTCTCGCCGCCCTGCCTCCTCCTCCAGCTGCAGGAGAAAAACTGGTCCGCCCTGCTGACGGCCGTGGTGATCGTCCTCACCATCGCGGGGAACATACTCGTCATCATGGCTGTGTCCCTAGAGAAAAAGCTGCAGAACGCCACCAACTACTTCCTGATGTCCCTTGCCATAGCTGACATGCTGCTGGGTTTCCTTGTCATGCCTGTGTCCATGCTAACCATCCTGTATGGTGAGTGGCCGTAGCCTCCCAGCCGTGCCCACACGAGTAGTGGGCAGCATGTGCATGTCATTAGCAGAGGATGAGCCAGGGCTCAGGGACAAAATAAACGCGAGGCTTTGTTAATAAACAAGGGTACCGTGATACGCTAGTTACTTAAACTTCACTCTCAAAATGGGGTTTCATATATATATTTTTTAAAAAAGGCAACCAATGATCTGTGATCACTGGAGAGTTTTGGCTTGGAAACCTGTGCATGTTAGGTAGAAATGATGATTATAAATGCCCTCACACACTCCTAAGGCAATAACTTATCTGTCATCCTAAACCCACTTGATTTTCCACTCCTTTCTATTCCAGAATATCCCGGCCTTTAGGACAGAGCAGTTCAATCTTTGTCACAGTTTTCAGGACTTCTAATGGAGTGAGAAAACCTTCCCAATTACCGTGGAACATTTGCAGAGAGAACATCGTGATGCAGTGGGTTTAATGTTAAAATATGCAGCCTCCATTAGAATAAATGAATTACTCCCAGTTTCATTGTTCCGGGCCCAGGGAAGCTAATTTGGACCGGTGCCTTTGAATGATGCCCTCAAACTCTTTAAAAATGCATATGCATAAACTCCGCGGGTCTGGTGAGGAGGGGGGTGGGAAACAAACGGGAAGAGGTTAATCTTGCTTTCTCCTCAGCAGAGTTTGAAAGAGTCACACCTCTGAGCAAGTCAGCCACCGCTGGGGCGGCTGCGGCTGGGGGCAGAATGGGATATTCTTTCCAAATTATGAGTAATTCGGCCAGACTTCTCCTTTGAGAGGGAGACAGAGACAGACAAACAGAGAGAGAGAGAGTGAATGTAGAGACTGCTGACACAAGCATCCAGAGCCAGACACAGGTTGAGTGCTGGCTTCCGGAGGGGATTTTCTGGCCAAGTCTCAGGGGCTAAAAAACACATCAGTCCAGCCCCTCGGCGTGGAGACGAGGGAGGGGAGCGAGGGCGAGCAGGCGCGGGTTTGCACGGGCTGGATAAGGCTCATTGCAACACCAGCCCGCCGTTCCACTCCAATGTCAGGACCAGATCATTCCGTCCAGCCCGCCTGTCATTTCCCAGACATTCTGGAGAGGTCCTGCCTGCCTAAGACCGCGCCCCTCGCCGAGGCCAATTCCAGGAATAGGGCGGATGACTCTCCACAGGGTCTGTCCGGGAACCAAAGCGCCCAGGGAGTTGGGGGGAAGCCCCGAGCGGCAGGTGGTGGGGGGCGTGGGGGTGGGCGCAGGCACCAGCCCGCTGGGTTCGGAAGCTGGGACCTGCCCCGGAGGCTCCGGCTCGGGCGAGAAGGGCGCCCCTAGCGGCCGCCGCTCGGCGTGCAGCGGGTTCCCGCCGCGAGCTCCGCGGGCGCGTCCTCCCGGGGCGAGGAAACGCCCCCTCCTTATCTCGGCTGCGCCAGCCGCCACTGAGGCCTGTGGCTGCCTCGGCGCGGAAAACGCCTCGCAAGGCCAGCATCAGTTCCGTTCAGCCGAGCAGGGCTTCCCCCCGGGGCGCTGCCAAGGAAAGGCTGTCGTTTTAGCTCCAGGCCTTTGCAAATGATCCTTGCGAAGGGCACCAAGTTAGGCTCGTATCGCGCAACCTTTACTTTCCCGATGACCCGTGGTGGCCTTTGGGTAGAGGGAGTGTGTTTGAAAAATGGAGAGTTTGTTCCGCTTTGTGGCGCTGGGCTGTGGGAAAGAAAAGGTGGTCTTTATAACTTTGCTTCTCGCGTGCACACAGGTCTGACACCATTGTTTATACTGTTACCAATGTTAATTAGGTTTATAGAACCATTTGATCCCCCTCAAACACACACGCACTCAGAGAGAGAGAGAGAAAGAGAGAGAGAGAGAAACAGGGCCCTCTGCTTCTGCCCATAAAACACAGGCTAGCTCCCTAATACAGCACGTGACCCCGGGCAGAGGTCCCCCCAGTCCAACCACCCACAGAGCTAGAAACATTTAGTGATCTAGTGTTCGGGACCCACCCACACCCACCCTTCTGGGCATCGGGATCTCTCTAAAGCTCTCTGGCCGATTCTCCTGCGAGGCCAGGAGTGAGAACCAGCACCCTGAACAGTGGTTGCCCAGGGGGTGGGTCCCTGGACCAGCAAGAGCAGCGGCCTGGGGACCCCTGCCCCACTGCAGACTGACAGAGTCAGAGCCTCGGAGGTGGGCGGCCCCTCTGAAACAACGCCCACCGAAGCTGGAGACCCGCCACCCCGAAACAGTGCAGAACCCGAACGAACACCAAGTTCTAATTCACCATCATCTTTATCCCCAGCCCCACCCCCGCCCCCGCCCCCGCCCACAAGCCCGGGGTTTGAGTTTAACCCCCAAAGCATTGTTAGGCGATTATCATTCAGGTTCACAAGTAAAGACAGACTCCGATTCTGGATTTTCAGTCATTTATTCCTTCACGCCAATAGCACTTAATGAGAGACCACTAACTGCCATCTCCCGGGCAGGACGGAGCAGTTACCATGGTGACTAAGGGTTGGGCCGACCCTCGGGACACCCAAAACATGCGAAGAAGTCAGGACAGTACACGGTGAGGATTTCAGTGGAGGAGCTGAAAATAGATCATAACTTGTGACCTAAGTAATTAAAAAATATATGAGATATATTCTGTTAGGCAGAAGACAGGGAAGGAGAGGGAAGGAGGAATCTGTTTAACACACTGAAACAGCCCCAGCCAGAAGGAATTCTCAGGCCTGGGGTCACCAGCCAGGGCAACCTTATTGCAGTTCACCACCTGGCTCTTCTGAAACATTGAGAAAATAGCTTCTGTTGCCCTGTGCTGCCCTGCCTCCCCCGCTCTGTGCCTTCCCCAGGACGAGACTGTTGTAGCCGGGGAGAACACAGGGGTCAGGGCAGCGACCTGCCGATTCCTGATGCTGACCCTGAGCTTCCGCCCCCCAGGTTACCGGTGGCCGCTGCCCAGCAAGCTCTGCGCGGTCTGGATTTACCTGGACGTGCTCTTCTCCACGGCCTCCATCATGCACCTCTGCGCCATCTCGCTGGACCGCTACGTGGCCATCCAGAACCCCATCCACCACAGCCGCTTCAATTCCAGGACGAAGGCATTCCTGAAGATCATCGCTGTTTGGACTATTTCCGTAGGTAAGTGGGAACAACGCTGCAGAGTCCCGTTTGCAATGACGGTTCCCGCCTTCCGAGGGGATGTGTTCTTTCTTTGTTGCGCCGAGACCGAACGCCCTGAATCTATCGTTTTGTTTGTTGCAAGGTATGTTGCAACATCGTCATTATCAGATTGGCTTTAGGAGCGAAACATCCATTCACGTCACTGGCTGACAACCTAAATTAGTGTTGCTTTGCACGAGGAAGAATGTGTATGCCAGTAGAGTCAAAATCAGGGGGAAAAAAAGCTGTGACTGGGCACCTTCTAAAACTTTTTCCCCATCCCACACTTTCAAAGTCACTGCTCTAAGTCTTGGGTTTCCCAGAGGCCTCGACGCTTATAACCCCTGGACTTGAGGTCAGCGCGAGACTACAGAGCTCCATCCTGGAGAATTCGAGGCTTCTGGGGACTAGGAAAGGCGCCAGGTGCTGTAACTCAGAGGGAGCTGGTGGGAGAGTGTACTGGGGGGGCAGGCATGTCAGCCACCCAGCACCTCTGCATCCCTTCCTTCTTTTAGGACACCTCGCACCACAGGGTTTCAACCTGCTTCCCTGGGGCTGGGGACACGCAGTCACCTGTAGCCCGTACTGACCTTCCACCCACACCTTGCAGTCAGGAAGGCCCAGGTCACGGAAGCTCTGGGCAGCTGAGTCATTGCACTTGTCACCTCAACAGGCTTCATGTATACCCAGAGCTTCCCCAGGATTTGTTTTAAAGTCACAGAGCTGTGCAGGCAGAAATGCTGCATCTGCTTATGGCCGCCCGGGTGTCGGGATCTACTAACGTGAGAGACCACAGAACTTGATGGCAGGCACACATGTATCCACAGCTTCGTTACGAGAGTGTAAATTTATAACAAGCAAACAGTGCACCGTCTTTGGTTTTGGTGCTTGTTTTCACCTTGCGGCTTACACTGTAACCCGGACAGTAGGTAGCTCCGTTCTGCAGGTGAGGCCGTGGGCGTCAGGAAGTGCAAGACTCACCTCAACACAGCCAAGTGTCCGTTTGATTGTGACGCGAATACTCGCAAGCTACATTTGTGTGGTTTTCAAAATTTGGAAAAGTCTCAGCTGTTTCCCATGTCAAACTGCACACTAGAGTCTGAAGGAGGCAAAAAGGAAAGATCTCGCTGCCCTCGTGGGATGGACGAGGGCGTGCAGTAGAGACCGGTTTCACGGCCTGCGAGCAGGAGCGGCGGGGCCGAACTCGCAGCGCCCGGCCCTGCTCTCACTGCCGGAGCCCCTCCTTACTTAGGGAGCACTTCTTGCTCCCCAGATTGCTTGTGGGTCCTGGGCCCGTGCAGTCTTGGACCCATTCTACTGGGAGCAAGAGAGTGGGAAATGCAGAAACCAGAAAGACACGTGTAGACATAGCTGGCCACCTGAGAAATTGTAAGTGCCTATGGCTAAACTCCATTATAAGCACAATTAAAAATATATATTTCAGTGTATATGAAAAAGGACAAGGATTGATCTCCTTAATGTACATTTTGATAAAAAAATGAAAAGACAATTCAATAGAGAAATAGACCATATGAATAGGCAATTCACAGACACACGTAATTTGAAGTGGGTATTAAAGCTCATGAAAAAAATGTGTAGCCTCTTTAACGGTCATGGAAATGTAACTGAAGACAATAACGCAATACCACTCTTAGCCGTCTGATTGGCAGAATTAAAATGAGTGAAAACAGGTGGTGTGGTTTGGGGCACAGGGTCGTATGTGCTATTGTAACCAGTTCGTGCAATGTGAATTGTTTGTTCTTGGACAGTGTAGCAGAAGTTGTTAAAATCTGACCTGCCATTCCCTCAAGAGAACCTTTTCTACAAATAACAAAAGTACACATAAAAACTTTTAATACAGAAATTTGGGGGAGTAGTAATTTTGGAATGAGTGGAAAGTTTGGGTTATGGTTGGATGTTGTGTTATAGTTGTTTTTATCTAAATTATGGAATATTTTGCAGCATTAAAAATATGGAGTTGGGGTTATTTGATATTCATGGATGAATGTCCATGACATTAAGTGCAAAAATCAAGTTTTGGGGTGGTGTGCATGATCTGAGCCCATTCTGATGCAATAATAACAGCAATAATACGTGGAGATAGCTATGTATTAGCACCGAGAAACTGTCGAGAGACTTCCCACTTGTCAAGAAGGAGAACTTTGAAAGAATGGCAGGGGTGTGATGTTTTCCCTTACGTGCTTCTGTATAGTTTTGTCACAAACATGACGACGATGGGAAAGTGGTGTGGAAAAACCAGTTCCACCGGCAGGTGGGAGGGAAGGCTTCCTGGAGGAGGGGGCTGACCTTCAGAGTCTGCGAGGGTGTTAACAACTGCATTTGGGTCATGCCCTCCTCAATCACTCAGCTTCCTCACTCTGGTTATTTCTAAGGGGTGCTGCTGCTTGCCCACAGCGCACCGCTACTAGTGCGGTCACTTGCCTTTTTCCAAGGCTTCCATCTAACGCTGAGGAAAATGAGTATAATTACAAAGCAGTTGCATTTTGTATTCGTGAGCGTCTCAGAGTAAAGGAGGGATGAGAGAGAAGACCGACGCATTAGATCAAGAACGAGCCCGGGGTTCTCTGTGCCCTTCATTTTTCCTGCTCAAACCCACCCTTCATGACCAGGGGTAACTGTGACTTCTCTGCACGATACCCAGCAAGCACACCCTTCCTCGGCGTGCTGGCCTTGCCGATGCCACCGGAGGAAAGAAAAAGGGTGCTACTCAGTCCTCAGCCGTCTGCAGCAGGTAACGGCATAAATCAGATGTTTTTTTTTAAAAAAGGAAATGACTATTTTCACATTGTCATATTTTGACAGGCAAGCAGAGATACCAATTTAAATTTCATTGCACTTATTTCATTTCAGAAATATATTTGTAGTCCATGGAGGAATTTTGAAGTATAATGGATCTCAAGAGAAAACAATTTTTTTCCCCGTCAAGGCCAAGCATGACCACATACTTCATGCATTATTCCTTTTGTAGAGAAAAGGCCAGCCGTGTCACCTTGATGTAGGGCCTGTACCTTTCCAAACGGTGACGACAGTGCCTCAGTTCTAAGCTCAAAGCCTAGGTCCCTGGGTCCTGGGTCCTAGGTCCCTGGGTCGCCACCCCCCACCCCCAGCCTTCAGAAAAGTCAGAAACCCACCTTCTCACCCAGATGGGGCAGATTTCTTAAGAAGCTCTGAGGGACAGTAGAGATGCTGTGTTTCACCATAGTTTTCATTTGTAGTTTTTTTGGTATTTAAGACTTTGAGTATCTTTTCACGGGTATGAGCAAAGTCCTATTTTGATTTCCAAGACTGTTGCCCATGGTTTTTGCTGTTGAGCTTGGTGTGTATCAGCAGGGAGTCTGGGGTGAGGTGACTCGTCCTGCCGCTTGCAAACCCGATGACCGGGAGCAAGTGACTGAAGCTCTGTCCCTCAGGTTCCCACGGAACAAACGCTGACAGTAACAGCACCAGTATGACGAGGCCGTTTTGATGATTAAGTGAATCAATATCGTGTTTGTGTCGTAAGTGTTGTAGGTTTGCAACATTATTCGAGCTTTTCTCTGTAAGGCTCTTGGTGTTTTCTAACATGAATGCGGGGGATTCGTGCTTTGGCTGCGTTGTGACACTTCTGTGTGTTCTCCGGGTGCCTTATGGTGGCATTTTCCACAGGGATTTTTATTTTCACATCCCTTTTGTTTATGAATGTCTGTCTCCCTTACTGCTTCTGAATGTCGAGTCATTACTAAAACTGCCTTTCCCCCTACACAGTTACGAAGGGGCTCTGCCACCTTCTCTTCCGTGACCTTGACGGTTTCGTTTGACAGTTTCGTCTTTAAACCACCTAGAACTGGATCTGTGATTTCACTCTATTTTTTCCATCCAGCTACTTATACCAGTCCCATTGTTTCCCCGCTGGTCTGATCCACCACCCTCTTTCCCACACACGGAGTTCCCACATATTGGGGGGCGGCGGGGGGCAAAAGTAGGTTCACAGCTGTGAGCACGTGAGTTTATGTTGGTGTTACCATTTGTTAATGATTGTGTTATTTTCCACATGAACAACGTTTTCCACACCCTGCATTTACATTTGTTTCTGGACTTTTTCTCTTCTAATGACCAGTCTGTCCAGGCACCTGGAGCCCGCTTTCCATCCAGGGTGTAGAATTACGGCTTTCTGTAGAGTTACCTCTGAGATCCACCGGGCCCTCATTTTCTTCTCTTTCAGACTTTTTTTGGACCATTTTCATTTGCTTCTTGCATGAGTTTTAGAAACCCAACCTCTATCAGAAAAAAAATAATTGCTTTTCTTATTGGAATTGTGTGTAACTTTATACATCAAACCTTTTGACCTTTTGGCTGGCATACCTATGTACTTTTTTTTGGTCCTGTTTTTCTTTTTCTATCTTTTTTTTTGGAGTGTGTGAGCAGCCTCAGATTGTATACGGAATGAAGTGAATTTATGTCAACAAATACAACTACTAAAAATCTTAACACTCAGGGTTTTAAAAGTTACATGCACATTTTAGGTCTGAGAGGCATGATCATTAAATACGTCTGTTTAATTTTTCTATCATACCATATCTTCTGGGGAAAAAATGCTCAGAAAAATACGAAGTACATCGGCTGCATAAAGTCGGCCGGGAAGCAGATGGTGTGCCGCTGGCCTCTCTGGGCGGCGTGCGGCCAGCCCCACCGCCTGGGGCAGAGCGTCTGCGGAGCCCGCCCGGGACCCTCTCCTCGGGGGCCTGGCGGGCTTCTGCCCGCCTCGCTTGCTGCCCGGAGTCCGCCTAAGGGTAGGCGCCAGAGAGCCATCAGGCAACCTGTCCCTACACACTGCTTGGGGACCTCGTTGTGGGTGAGCCCCTAACCTTCCAGGTTGCAGAAGGAGCCTGGGGAAGAATGAGTCTAACGGCCCTTCCCCTCGGCTTCTCTAGCCCCACGTTTTTTCTCCTGGGCGCAGCGAAGTTGCCTTCCCCCGTTCT